GGGACCTGTTTGATTCGGCCAATTCGGCAGCGGCTGAATCTCTGAATTAGATTCCGCCAAGTCGACTTGGGACAGTGATTTGAATCACCGAATCGAATCACTGTCCTCCGAATCGACTGAATCCGAATCCAAAACAAATACTAGCCACTTCACACAGGCCTAATATTTGTAGAGGAAAAAGTTCTCCTAGTTAATGCTTTTAACTTTTGGAGCCATTTTACAGGACATTTTGATTTTTAAAGCTGCATTTTTCTCCAACCATTTTCTGAAGAGAACTCTAACTCACTTTTCTTGCTTCCTCAATTTTCTAATTGTCACAATATTTGTTTACAGCTAATGAATGCCTTTAAAGCAAGCTGTAGGCAAAACTTGTTGAACCTTTGGGTTTTAGTTACAGATCCATCCTAGCACACAGCATCCTTGATGCTGCCTGCACATATTGCCTTGATGTTGGATTCAGTTCCATACTACCTTAATCTTATGATGAACAGAGCTTAATCTATGATGAACAGATTTCAAGACTTTTTTTATTCCACTTGAAGGCAAAAAAATTAAAATGGGGCTAAGCATTTGTCTTTTGTAAGAGTGCTGAATTCTCCCCTCCCACATCAAAAAAAAGTCTTTTCTGAAAATTTTCAATCTGTTTAACTGGACCATAAGCTAATTCCTGTATGGCCTGGTCAGCCACCAAACTCGGATTTCCCCTCTGATATTCCATCAAGGAGAGAGATCCCCTTGCTGTGTGCGCCTAGTGTCAAACCTGACTTGGCTGTAAACAGTTAAAGTAGGCTAGCTGCTGGTTGTCAGATGTGTGTTTCACTGATGGCAGGAGAACTTTGGAGTCTCACCTTTTCCATCTGCTCTTGGATGGAAAGAGAAAGCAGACTGCCCTCAGTGACGCTGAGCACTTACTGTGACTCATAATGTAGCCTCTGGCCCCGACTCCCCAATTCTTTGTCAAGCAGAGATCAAGGATCACTGCAAGAAAACTGAAGGCACTTGAAAACACAGAAAGGTAGAAAAGGAAGAAAGTGTGATTTAAATTTTGAGACCCAACTCCATCCATTCAAGATGATCCCTCTTAAAGCTGAGGAGATGAACTATTAGCCTGTGGTTCATCTGTTGGTCACCTCCAGCTTTCTTAACTAGTAACTAAATGAGTAGGTTTCCAAGCCCCCAACAGAAAGAGGAATTAACTGCCAACTTAAGATGTTCTAACTAGTAAAATACTATATTTGCAGGTAACAAAATGACTAGCACTGAATCCTCCAAGAGTCAGAGTCCAGTGGCACTCGGGCCTCTATGTCAATTTTGACCTGAGCTATTCCACTTGGTTGGTTAACTCATCTTTAGCATTTCTTAACCACATCGAGGTGTGTGGGTTAGTTTTTGCTCAGAATTCCAAGCAAGTCGAAGCTGAAAAATTGACTAGAAGAAGGGAGAGTGGGCTGTGCAAATACTAATGGACTTTGTGTGCCAGGTCTGTATTATTCTTCAATGATCAACTTGTCAGTATTACAGGAGCTGTGGAAAGAGGCAGAATATTTTTAAAAGGCATTTTTTTTCCTTTTTGCATATGCTTCAGTATTTTTCCTCTATGCTTATGTCTTGCTGGGGAGCAGCTTGAGAGGTCACTATGGGACATGGAGGTTTCAGACAAGATCTAGGGGCAGGCTGGCTGACTGCCCTTCAAAATGATTACAAGTGTGAGTGAAAGAAGGGGGCTCTCTCTTGGCAGCACGGATGCAGTGTGTACCTCTGTGTGGACAATATTTTGTGCTCCAGATGGTGGTCCAAGCTCAAGGTGGTAATGAGTATTTTAACTAGCTGACATGGTCAGTTTCTATTCAAAATTGTCCACAAGGCTCAAGTGACCACTGCCACACTTGGAAACAGCAGAAAGCAAGCACGTTCTGTAAGAACAGAGAGCCCTGAGGTTATGTGGAGTCCTGCTGATTGATGTGGAGACTCCAGCACATTTTGATCTCTCAGAGAGCTCAATGAGAAATTCATTAGAAGCAGATTCATGGCCTGGATTGAAGACCAACCTTGGTAGTTCACAGAAGGTAATAATAATCCATGTTTGTGCAGCCATCAGTGTAACCAGGTGTTAATAAAGAGGAATGAGGTTCTCTGGATTTGGAGCCTCAAAGAAATCTGCAACAAAGCTGACTTTTAGTTTCCACGGAGCTAACTTGTTGAAGAAGTGGAGATTGTGTGTTGAACAAAAGGTGTTTCATCAGAATGGATGATTGTCTCACATCTTTTTTTTTTCCCATTGCCTTGCTTAACTAAAAAAGAAAAAAAAGCAGCCATTATAAGTGAGTTACGGCAAAGACTGATAACTGAGGAGACTGGGAATCTTTCTGTTACTTAGTGTGGTGGTCTAACAAAGTATTGGACCATAGACTTGTTCTCAATTCATGCCTGTAACTCTTGTCAATATTAGCATTGGGGTGGGAGTTTGGCATAATGACAAAGGGCTCCACATGCCCCCCTGCCCTTATCTACGTTGATGGTATACAGCAAAATGGTGTGCTTTGTTGTTATTTTTTATAAATGTCAATCCCTGTAGCAACATCTGGAGAACTAGATGGCATTTTGTAGCACTTAATAATTTAATTCTAAAACGTGGATGGGTGTTTTATGTGTCGGAGTGTGTGTGTGTGTCTCTCTCTCTATCTCCCCCTCTTGCTCTCCACCAACCTTTTCCTCTGAGGATACATTTTTTTAACTATTACTCATTACTAGAAAGCAGAACACAAGAAGCTAGAACATGTATCAGAGCCTTGGAAAAATGCATCAGCTGGAACAGCATGTTTAACAAGTATCTGTTCCACATCCATGTCTTGATGTGAGTCAGATTGTGCTGCTCTGACTCAAACTGAGCAGTACTTTGTGCTACCACTAGCCCTGCTGGCTGCTGCAGGATTCCAAGTGTGATCCCCCAGCCCTATTCCATTGAAGTCCGTGGGACTATTCCCACAGTAAGGTACATCCTAGCAAATGGAGCATCACAGTCTGACCATTAATCCTTATCTTGAGGAGAAAAGAAAGACCTTTATTGCAACTGCCTTTGTATCCTGGTTCTTCATGCTATGTTAGAGTTCTTTTTTCTGTATATTCTCAGTATTAAAGCTTTCCTTTCAAGGGGTATTTTTTTCAATTATAAAAAAGAAGGTAAAGTTGAATGTGCAATAAGACAAGCTGTGCTGCCTCAAAACACAAGCACTACATGAGTCAACACGTGAAAGTTGGGTTCATAAGTAACCGATTACACTTGCTGATACCAAATAACAAGGCACTGTGCCGTTCCCAGACATTAATTCGAAATACTTCTCTAATGCTTGAGACCATTTACAGATCAATCTCCTTATGTGCAAGAATCTCCCATTAGGGGATAATCTTCATTCTGAAAACTCAGTCCATGAGTGTGATTGTGCTATAACATGACAACGCCAGCATGAAGTGATGATCCACTGTCTCAAGAAAGTTAAAGTTTTGAGCCATCCAAGGTAGTTAAATGTGCTGTGCCAGGCACACAAAGGGTGCAGTAGTGAGTAAGATAGACAAATTAAGTGTTTGGGGGGAAAAACTGGAGGTAGCAAACTTCAACCTACTTCCATCACATTTTCCTAATCTAAACATTCCTTTTGTCAATTCTATGACAGGCAAGACGTTTATTAGCTAAAGTATGGCAAAATTCTCTGCTTTCGTCCACACAGTGAAGCTAGATTCTAATATTCTGTTTGCCTAAAAATGGATGTCAGAATCAGGACAGCTACATATCCAAGCAACCCTATGGAAAGGGGAATGTTGTCTTTAAAATGTGTTCGTGTCCTGTAGCTAGCTGTCTTATGTAAGCAATAAGGTGTATTAGGCAGATTCCAAGAATTATCGCATGTTATTGGCATGCAATAGACATGGGTGTGAAGATTTGAGTGTCTCTGAACTGATAGTAATTACACTAATTTCTCAGAAATTCACTGTTCTTGCTTTAGGCCTATTGGAGTCCATCACTGGAACATCAAGTCATAACTTCAAGCAACTTCACCTGAATAACCAAAATGCATTGACATGCTTACACTTCTCTTCCCAGTGCAGTGTCTAAAGAATGAATATGCTCATGCATTCTGTTTAAAGATTTGGTTTTGAGATCCTTACTGAGACAATTTCCCATCAAAGTCAAACTTGCCAGCATAAAAATTGAAGGATTATGTTAACTAGAGTGTTTTGTGATTTAAATAACCTGTGTGCATACTATACTCAAGCCAGTGCCCAAGCCTGGTCTTTGCTTTGTTCTTTTTCTCTGCAAATGTGAATGAGTTTTCAGCCGTATGGGTTCTTCATCCATAGGTTTACAATTTCACTTTCTTTTCTGAAATGAAACAAATCTTTCTGTTTCCTTCTAAGAATGAAAGCAAAGGCCTCATCTGACTGTTCTCTGTATTACTTTTGTCTCCTCCATTTCCTAGGAAGGGAGGGAGGAGTTTGACAGTCAACGTTTCAGTGACACCAACTCAGTATTAATCTTTGGACTCTTGTGCAGTAATGCACGCACTGCCAGTAACGAAACTGAACTCATTTAGAAATAAGGACACTGTGAATTCAGACAAGAGGAGAGAAGGTGATTGGTTTATTGTATATAGCGAGCAATGAATTTGGAGAACAGCTGATGAATCTGTATTCCTACCTAAGGCACATCAGAGCAGGACATGTTGTAGCGGCCCCCTGCTTAGGAATCTGTTGGAGTTTCCATTCAAAACCCTAAGCTCCAGGGTGTTAAAAATTAGTCATTAAAAAAAAAATTGGCTCCTGCCAAAACATGGCAGGAGATTTTTAACTCCTATCACTCTGACAGCAGA